ATCAAAATTAATTTCGCCAATGGTGCACGAAATAGAGAAGCTCCCTAGATCCTTGAGTTTTGGAGGTAATTTATTTTGTAGGATTGTTGAGCATTCCTCATTAAGTTTTACCATCTCAAACTCCTCCAACATTCTTTTGTTTGAAATTATTTCCTTAAAAAGTTTGGCATAACTTGGCATCTGAGAAATAGCATCAAGAAGAAGAATATTAATATGCAACTTTTGAAACACCTCTAGAAATGTAGCAAATTGCTTATCCAAGTTAGCCTTAAGAAATCTTTTAGGAAAAGGAAGAGGGGGTTTGTAGGATTTTAAATTAAGAGTAGAAGAACTTCCCTTTTTCTCCGTTGATGACTTGTAGTTTCCTTCTTTGGCTTCAAGGTTTCGGCTTTCTTCCTCTTTTACCTGCTCATTATCTTTTTCTTCTTTTCTAAGTTCTTTTCCACTTCGCAGAGTGACGACCTTTACTTATTCCCTGGGATTTTTCTCGGTATTGCTAGGTAATCCTCCTTGTAGTTTTGCTGAAATTGCTTGAGCAAGTTGTCCAATTTGAGTTTCCAACCCTTGAATTCTTGCCTCCATACTGTTGATAAATTTTGCCATCATATCCTCTAAATTTGGCTTCTTCTCTTGTGGATTTTGTTATTGTTGCTGCTGAAAACCGGGAGGTGCTCTTTGTTGGTTATTACTCCAAGAAAAATTTGGATGGCTTCTCCATCCTGGATTGTAAGTGTTGGAGTAGGGATTGAAATTGGACATGTTGTCACCTTAAGAAACAAAATTAGCTTGTTCAGAAGAAGAAGAAAATGGATTTCCTACTTGACAGTCTACACTAGTGTGTCCCCCTTGCCCACAAAGCTCACAAGAAGGGAATGGAACAGAAGAAATACTCATAGCTGAAACCCCCAAATTTTCCAATTTCTTATTTAATGTAGCAAGTTGAATTGATAATGTAGTGATAGAATCGACATTATAAATTCCAACTCCCTTTTTATTTGCTCTCTCATTGCCCCATTGATAGCTATTGGCCGCCATCTCCTCCAAAAGTTCATACGCTTCTTCGAGAGTTTTTCTCATAAGGGTACCACCTGCAGCTGCATCTAACATTGAACGATTAGATTGATTAATGCCACTATGAAAAGTTTGCACTTGCATCCAAACAGGTAGACCATGGTGAGGACAGTTCCTAAGCAGTTCCTTAAATCTCTCCCACGACTCATATAAGGTTTCATTATCAAATTGAGAAAAAATTGTTGTCATTCCTTAATTTAGCCGTTTTAGCAGGTGGAAAATACTTCGATAAAAACTTTTGTGCCAAGTCATCCAATGTAGTAAGCGAATCTGCAGGAAGAGAGTTAAGCCAATCTTTTGCTTTGTCCCTTAAGGAGAAAGGAAATAACCTAAGTCTAATGGCATCATCACTAACTCCATTATGCTTAAAAGTATCACATATTTCAAGAAAATTAGCAATATGAGAGTTAGGGTCATCATTGAGGCCAGAAAATTGCACACTCATCTGGATCATCTGAATAATTGCAGGCTTAATCTCAAAACTGTTTGCTTGCACATTCGACCTCCTAGTGCTTGATGTAGTACCATCCAGAGTAGGTATAGCATAGGAGATCAATGTCCTTGGATTATTTTGGTCTTGAGCCATCTTGTTCTTTCTCCCTTGTTCGCTTTGTCAAAGTCCTTTCGATTTCTTGATCAAGGGGTATTAATTCTCCACCCCTTGTGCATGTCATGCACCACGAACCTTCAAAGAAAAGAGAAAAAAAATTTTAAATTTCCTAAAAAATTTTATAAAGCTGAACCCAATAGAAAAGAAAATTTTAAATCCGAAAATAAAACAAATAGATGTTCAATCTAAGGCTAATTCAGGTAGTTTTGATATGCAATAAACTAGTCCCCGACAATGGCGCCAAAAACTTGTTGTGTAATTTATGCACAGTTAATTCAGGCAAGTGTACCTTAGTCAAATGTGTGTATAATGATGAGAAAAGTGTCGATCCCATAGAGACTAGATCACAGTACTAAATCAATTTTAAACTAACCTAAGTTGAACTCGTAAATCAATTGAAGGAAAAAACTAAAAGAATTAATGCAAATCCAAGAACTTAATTAAAAACTGAATTGATGGATGAGTGCAGTTAGGGTTTAGATTTCATTAAATCAAGGTTATATAATTACCTATTTAATCCAACCCAAGACCGAAANGGTTTAGATTTCATTAAATCAAGGTTATATAATTACCTATTTAATCCAACCCAAGACCGAAATTACCCTAAGGTATATTAAAGTTATTTGCATGTGATGGTGGATTTCCCTAAATTAATTAATAAGCTTTCTCAAGTCATATTAATCCTTTATTAATCAAATTCTACCATCAAATTTCTAAGTGGTTGTCAAAAGGAAAAATAAGCATTGATTTCTTTGGAAACCTCTAATCGTAGAAGGGGATTTGACTCACTAAGATTCATTGATTCCCACACATGAGCTAATCATTTTTTGATATCATAGTCTATCATGCGATTTTTATTCCTATTGATCTAATTCATAACAATCCTTTGGTCAGTGATGCATAAATCATCAAATCATTAAAAGATTGGCCAATTCTTTTAAAGCATTAAGCATAACAATAAAAATTCCTCATGCAAATAATAAAGGTCTTGAATTGAATTAAACAAATAACTATATAATCTTAATTAGCTGTTTGAATCACCTCAATCCAAGTTGTAGGCAGAAAGTTATGCCCAAAATACGGGAACAATATCAAAACAGGAAATTTCCTGATTTTTGTGCATACGTATCAAATCCGATTTCAATGGATTCTCTCCTTCATGGCTACATCATGGAGCATCATTGGTGCATGGTCCTTCCTCTATGATTATCTTGATCAATTAAATCGAAGTCCTCCTTAAAATTGCACAATTAAGCTCCAAATCATCTTGCAAGACAATTTCATCATAATTAGTGCAATACCATGCTAATTCTAAAAACATTATTACCAAAATCATCAAGTTAGAGGTATGAAAATATGTACAAATATAGGCTTATCAACTAAGACCCATAATTCCTCTGTAATCTTCTTTTGTATAAAACTTTCATTTGGTATTGTCATCTTGGCCATGTGTCTTCATTTGTATAAAACTTTTGTTTCCTAGTTTGTTTTAGTTTGGTTCTAGTCCGCAATGTGATGTTTGTCATCTTTCAAAACATTGTAAAACATTATATTTTGCAAGTAATAAAAGGAGTAATGTTGCTTTTCATTTGATACATACTGATATTTGGGGTCCATACTCTATTTCTTGCATGGGTGGATGTATGTATATTCTCTTCCTTGATGATTATTTATTTATTTATTTTGAAGAATCGAGAAAAAGATTTCATTAAAAGAAATAAGAGTTACATCCTAACATCCTCGGTTGTCTAGTTGACACACCACATACATTCTGAAAACTTCAAATTGAAAATGATTCTACATTACAAGGCTATAATTCTAGGGTATTCCGAAAATTTTCCATCAAATCGTCCTTGGAGACTTGGTTGAAAGCTGGATGTCTGAGAACCCATTCTGAAATCAGATTGGTCACTGCAGCTACCATATATTCAATGTTGTTTGACCTATTCTAAAAAACTCTTCTGTTTCTCTCCCTCCAGATAGACCAACTTACTGCAAAAGGGACAGAACTGAAGTTGATGGATCGAATCCACTCACCCCAAATAGAAAGGAAAAGAACTTCCATATGAAGCTTGCTATACTGCATTAAGTATACTTTGGCTATACTTGATGAAGAGTATAGATGAAGTACCTTCAATTGTTAAGAATTTCTTCAACATGATGGAAACACAATTTGAGAAAAAATAATAAAATAAGATTTGACAATTCAAAGTATTTTGAGAAACATCTACAAATATTCCTTGAATGAAAGGGTGTAATTCATTAAATATCACATTCAAATACACCCTAATAGAATGAGGTATTAGAAAGGAAAAATAGGCATGTGGTTAAAGTTGCTAGAAAAGCTTGTTATTGCAGATGCATGTTCCAACTCGCTTTTTGAGGAGATGCAGTCCAAACAACTATGTACCCATAAATAGACTTGTGGACCCTTCATCTTCATTCTCCTCCTCATCTCTTATTTCTTGATGAGCCAGCCTTCAATCTTCCTCTCAAGGTTTTTGGTTGTGTTTTCTTTGTTCGTTATATAAATCCTGCTCTTCTAAAGTTTGATCCAAAGTTTATCAAGTGTGTTTTCCTTGGGTACTCTCTTGTCTAGAAAGGTTATAGATGTCTTAATCATCAGTCTAGTAAGAGAAGTATGTATCCAAGGATGCCACCTTCTTGAGTCAATTCCTTTGTATCAATCATCTCATCATTCTCTTTAGGGGAGAGTTAGTGATGATCAGACTCCATTTGGTCTTCGTGTTCCTACTCTAGTTAGTACTTCTGATCCTTTTTTTCTCCTTCTTCTATTTGCATTGATAACCCTATTTTGTCTTCTCATGCTCCTGTGCGGCCATCATCATCGTTGTAGTAGTTTTGCATTAGGTGAAAGAAGAAGGTTTCTCTTGAGACTGAACATCCACCACAATCTAACCCCTTGGATTCAAGTAATCCAGGTAACCAACTTATTGAACTTGAGCCTCTCATTGATTTTGATCCTCTTGTTGATTTTGATCCCAAGTCTTCTTCCTCTACCTCCATTTGTGTCATTATGTCTTTTTTGTCCACTATTCCAGTCTTTGTATTAGACGAATATGAAGAATGTGTTTCTTAATGGTGATCTTTAGGAAGAAGTGTATATGGAATTGCCCCTAGGAGTGAATATCCTAGGTGGTGAAGGGAAGGTATGCTGCTTGAAGAAATCTCTCTATGGCCCCAAGCTATCACTCGAAGCTTGGTTTGATAGATTTAGAAAGCTGTCTTGAATATTCAATTCAAGAAATCTCAATCTAATCACACCTTATTCATAAGGAGAGTTTGTGGGTATGTAACTATGTTGATAGTGTATGTTGATGACATTGCCACCATATGGGATGATATGCCTGACATTGTTGAATTGAAGGTTTTCCTTTCTTCTGAATTTAAGATCAAGGATCTTGGAAACCTGGATACTTCCTTTGGATTATGGTGTCAAGGTTGAAGAGAGGAATTTGTATTTCACAAGCAATATATGTTCTTGATATGCTTCAACAAGTGGGGAATTGGGATACAAGCCAAATGGAACTCCTATGAATTCCAATCATAAGTTAGGGGCTGATGATGGATATATTCTTCTAGATAAGGATGCCTACCATAGATTAGTTGGCCCCCTTCTTTATCTTTGTTTGACCAGGCTTGATATATCATATGATGCGAGTATTGTAAGTCAATATATGCGCAGGCCTACAACATCTCATGTGTAGGAAGTGAACTGGATCCTTTAATATTTAAAGGGATGTCCAAGTAAAGGGATACTATATTCTAACCATAGACATCTTAAAGTTGAAGCATATGCAGATGCAATTGGTAGGTTCTGTTGATGATAGACATTCTACTTTTGGGTATTGTACTGTGGTTAGTGGTAATGTTGTATCATGGAGAAGTAAAAAGTAGTCTGTTGTGGTCCAATCTAGTGCAGAGGCAAAATACAGAGTGATGGCTCAAGGAATTTCAGAACTGTTGTGGATAAAGAATTTGTCGACAAAGATGGAGATACAGGCTAATATCCCAATGAGAGTGTATTGTGACAACTAAGCAGCCATAAATATAGTTCATAGACTTGTCCAACATGGTCATGCAAAACACATTGAAGTGGACTAGAACTTCATTAGGGAGAGGATTTCTAGCGGAGGGATTTGCTTGCCCTTTGTGAAATTTGGAGATTAGTTGGCTGATTGCCTCACAAGGGTGTTACCAAGCTGAAGCTTGACGACAACTTATGCAAGCTGAGCATGATAGTATTTTTTGTGTTTGTATTTACATTTGCAATGAGGTGTGTAATGGAGGTTATTTTTATAATTATTCTCATTAATATTTATACTATATATAAAAGTGTGAATGCAATGTGAAACTTATTTTGGACTAAAATTACCCTCTACTTCTTTGTTTAATGCTAGCTTTAATGGATACTAAAATGCCTATGTTTGTGTATTTAATCCATCTCTAATTGTAAGGGTTGAAAATGTAACTTCAATTATTACTTTCCACCACATTTAATCCCCTCTCATTAAGTCTTATACTTAAGGTATTAAATCCTATATTTTTAAGTTATTTTCACTAAAATGCTTCTAATTAGATCTCTGTCCATATTTTTGATAATATAAAACCATATATTTTAAAACTGACTCAAACGCAAAACCAATTTTTATCAAAGTGGTGGCTAAGTAATTCAACCATCTGAATCAAATTGATCAACCTACGAAGTCCTAGTTAGGTATTAAAATTTTAAAAATAGAAAATTACAAAAATGCAGAAAAAAAATTAGTCACATTTGTAATATTTTTTTAATCAAATTAAAAAAATAAGTGTAATAAAAAGAATTATTTTTATTATATAATAATGAAAATGAAATGCATAATTTAAAACTAACCAAAAATGAAATATAAAAAGTAATAATAAATAGTCCAACTTTTGGTTAAATGTGTTAACCTTTAATGTCATAAATAATTAATAAAAACTAATAAAATATAAAAATACAAAAATGAAAAAATACGTAAATTTTGCATAAAAAAAGCATTTAGGTATAGGAATGGCAACGGGTTGAGGAAGTTAGGTCCCCGTCAGGGATGGGGAAATTTGCCATCCCTATTTAGGCACATGTATAATATCACATATTGATCATATTAAATAAAAAGTAAGTGTGATATATTAGAATTATTTTTACACACAAAAATACAAAAAATTGTAGAGAAAATTGAACACATCTATAATTCTATATTTACACTACTATTAAAAATATGAATAAGATTGTGGAACTTTTTTTATTAAAATACTCATTTTTCAATTTAGTCCCTATTTAATTGTAAGGTTTAAATTTCATTTTTTTTAATACTTAAGACAACACACACTATTCAATAGTGGTAACAACAGGATTTAAATCCACATCTCTATTGGTCTACTACTTTTCATCTCATTCAATTCCCTCTATTTAAATCTTACATTTTTTTGATAAATGAACAAAAAAAAGAAGATACACCCAAAAGAGAAAACACTACGAAAAGAAGAGTTTAGCCAACCTGTCAATGATACTTGAACCCAATCTTTTTTTTTTTTTGATGAATACTTGAACCCTCGAAAAGACTTGAACCCAATCTTTTCGAACCACCGTTGACCCGGATGGTTAGCCTATCGGCCCAGGAACTGTCCAGGCAACCAGTTCCATTTTTCCCCAAACCTGGTCCCTGGCAAAAGGCTATTGAATTGGTCAACGACCCATTGACCCAAGCGGTCGAACCGTTGACCCGTTCATGTTTTTTGGTCATTTTTTATTTTAATTATTTTTAATTTTGTTGTCAGAACAGGGCGTCCATTCGAATCGAATGGTTAAACTGTTGACCCAAAAACCAGTTTCCTGAATGGTTCCAGTTTTGGGTTGTTTTTTAAAACATTGCTTGAAACTTCACAACTCTAACCGAGTATCACATATTTGGATGAGGTTCTTATATAATCAGATTTGGATTTTGCAATCTGCATCTGATTAATAAAAATAAAGCAAACAAATATAAAAATGAAAAAAAGAAAATACATAAAATTTACAGAAAATTTTGGATATAATAATATTATCATTATCATCGTCTAGAATTGCCATGTGCAAAGCACGTGCATGCTTACTAGTAAAAGAAAATAGATTAGGGTATGCGAGGTGATTTTGAATCTCACCCCCATTCATTTGAAAGTCTCTTCTTCTTCTCTTAATTGCACCTACTCTCTTGCAACTGTTGTGATAAAGACCATGCTCTATTTGTCTTTTGTGGCATGCCTAAAGTTATCCTTGTCTCTTAGTTGCTTTACATCCTTTGAATTCATGTCTTTCTAGTATGCAATTTAGTGAAGTTGTTTAACATTATGGTGGTATTGTTTTTACAGGATTTTTATGACTTGTGGCCTCAGAAATTTCAGTACAAGACAAATGGTGTTACACAGGTACATAACAACGTATTTTTAACGGTGTTGTAAGTCAATATTTGAACTTCTTGTCCTTAAACAAAATATCAATGCGCCAATGTGGTTGTTCCTTCTTTTCTTTTTTTCTTTTTTTTTTTGGGGGGGGGGGTCTCTTGGAGCTTCAAAAAGTGACATGATTACAAGCAGGATAGTTATGACAAAATAACATCCATATATGATTGTACCTTAGCAATATGAGAACCCCTTTGCAAGTTCTTCCATCTAAATCTCAATAATTCTTCCTTAGGTAATTCAGGGCCTTCAGGAATTAGAAGGTTATTCATAAACAGTAAAATGAGGTTAATCATTCTAAATGGCCTTCTGTGGCAGCTAGATGCATGTATTTTTCTCTCACCTTTTACCATCAAGTATGCTCTTTAGTTATTTTGGAATGAGGGGGGTAAAATTGTGGCATTATCTTCGGGTCCAATCAATTTTGGAGGCTCCCAAAGGGCTGAACTCTATACTGTATTGGAAGGGGTGAAATAGCCAAAAGATATGAATGTGGATAAATTGATTATAGAGGGAGACTCGGTAGTGGTGATTAGGTGGCTGAAGAATGTTGGCATGGTTTGGGCTTATAAGGAAGAAATAAAAGATTTAAATGGATAACAAGGAATACGTCTATTAAAGTTCAATGGGTGCAAAGATCGGCAAATGGCTATGATAAACTAGCCAAACAGGGGGTCATTACAGAACAATTTTGTTGGGCTTAAGTATAATTTGTAATTTATGTGAGTGGAGAGGTTAGCAAGTAGTTATTTTGAAAAATGAGTGCTCCTTTTAGCATGCTCAGGACCAGTTAACAGATTCGAAAGTGCTATATTTCTATAATTAATAAAGGACTCAGCTAAGTAAAGCATTTCTGGGTAAGTGGATATTGAGGAGGCTAATTAGAATCAAATATGAAAGCTCCAATCCGAATAGTGAGACAAACCCAACCACAGGATCCTTTGGGTCAAGTGTGTGGAAAATGGAAAGGCATTATGAAGTCAAGAAACTTAGTTGCAGATCTGTCAACCTTTAAATTGGGTGACTGGAAGAAGATCTGATTGTGGAAGGACACTGGTGTGTTTCATCCCTTCTCTGCACATCCTATCCACACATCTTTGAGATAGTGCATGATCGGGATGCCACCATAAATGAATGCTATGAAATTGTGAGAGACCAAATCATTTGGCTCCCTCCTTCAAGTAGACATCTTTTATTGGAATACTGATCAGCTGGATGCTCTCCTCGAGTAGCTTAGTCATTATCATCCATGTCCAAGCAATAAAGACTGAAGGTAGTGGAATGCTATAAAAAGATGTAATCTTATCTGTTAAGTGATTCTACAATAAGCTGGAGGAGGGGTGATCTGATGTTCCATGGAAACTTAGCTCAAATTTCAAATTGTATTCAAAAAGTGGGCCACCCTTCTAACAGGCCCCACAAGCTGAAGGACTTAAAATCTTCACAAGACTTGGGCCGAAGCCGTCCAAAAGCCCATTCGATGGATCTGAAAGTAGACCCCCACAGCCCAAGCCCACCTGAGACTCCAAATTTCCTAACTGAACCAATTCCAGAAACACCTCCCAGCTCAGGAAGACAAAGCAGGAAAATCTACAGGCCTCCCTCTTCACCAGAAAATTCAAGTTCTTCCTCTCCCTTCGAGACAGATGGAACTGACACAGATGAAGAACCGAGCTCTTACACGACGGAGACCGAACCAGACCCCAAAGAGGTGGCTCTCTTGAGGGCCAAGGATCTGTTCACTTGGAAGGAAGCTTGGGGAAGTGTAGAAATTCTCGAGCACACTCATCTTGTAAACCCTGAGTACGGGATTGACTGTGAGCCTTCAAGCTTAGAAAGAGATCGAGGACGAGAACCACACACCTACCCTAGAGTTTCCCTTTCCCTTTCCTCTTATTTGCCTGAGTTATTTTCTGCTTCATCTTCCACTCTTGAATCTCACCAAAATTCTCCTCACTGTCTTTCAGGTTTGGACGGAAAGCACTCCCAACCGAGTTTTAACCCACACTATCAAGAAGAGATGATCAATGGGCAAAACAATGCGGACAAACACAAAAGGGATGCTAACCTGAGAAAAGATGTTATTGAGACAGCTGAAAAGTTGGGATTAACTGAAGAAAAGGGAACCTTATACATACAGGATCCGAAAAAGGGGAAAATCGGACCTCAGAAAGTAGAGTTCGTGAAGTGTGGCAAGCAGATTCCTAAACGGGAGCTAAATAGACTTCAATGGGGGATTCGTGGAAAGAAATGGGTTGTTCTTCCTGCTGTAGGCACTTCAGGGGGAATTATCATTGCTTGGAATGAAGAGGAGGTCTCGGGCACTGAAATTGACAAAGGAGAGTTCTCAATCTSAGTTCTTTTCACCAATAACAATGATGGCTTTAACTGGATTTTGACTGGAGTATATGAACCAAACGCTCCCGCAGATAGGCAAAGACTCTGGGAAGAGTTGGATGCTCTACATGAATTTGAGGATATCCCTTGGGTAGTAGGAGGAGACTTTAATGTCACAAGATTCTCTAAAGAAAACTCCAACAGAAGAAAAGTAACTAGAAGCATGAGGGACTTMTCCAGTTTTATCTCAAGAYATAACCTYTGTGATCTYYCCCTCCACAATGGCCAGTTCACTTGGTCAAATCTGCAAGAAAACCCAACAAGCTGCAGACTAGACAGGTTTCTGGTAACTTCAGATTGGATGGAAAAATTCCCAAATCTCCTCCAAGAAATCAGACCTCGCTGCATCTCAGATCATTGACCTCTAGTCCTGAGAACAGATACGGTCAAGAAAGGTAAACCCCCTTTAGATTGGAGAAAATGTGGACGTTACATAAAGACTTTCACAAAATGTAGAGCTGAAGGCTGGGCTGGGCATAGATTGCTGCAAAAATTGAAATTCCTGAAAAGAAAACTGAAAGCTTGGGGGAAAAAAGAATTTAAATCATTTGCAGAGGAAAAAAGTGCCATCCTTTTGGAGTTGGAAGATCTGGATAACAGGGAACAATCAGGAGTTCTGGACGAAGATAGAAGGAGGAGACATTATTTAAGGAATCTTTGGGAAAAGGTAATCAGAAAAGAAGAAATCTTCTGGAGGCAAAGGTCAAGAGTCAAATGGTTAAAGGAAGGTGATAATAACACAAAATTCTTCCACAGCTATGCGATGGGAAGGCATAGAAAGAACCTTATCTCAAAAATCAAGGTGGACCAGAGGGAAGTGGAAGATGCTGAAGAAATCACAGAAGCATTTCTTAATCACTTAAAAAATCTCTACTCCAAGGGAAGTAGTAGGAAGTTATATTTAAGAGATTGGGAAGGACCAACTCGAAAGGGATTTTGAGGAGCAAGAAATAAGAGAAGCAGTTTTCGAGATGGATGGAGATAGAGCCCCCGGGCCCGATGACTTCCCCATCTTCTTTTTTCAGATATGCTGGGAAATCGTAAGAGTGGATCTTTTGGAGGTCTTTAAGGAAATTCCACTCCACGGAAGTTATAAACAAAGGAAATAACTCTACATTTATCTGCCTAATCCCAAAGAAAAATGGTGTCATGGAAGTGAAAGACTTCAGACCAATAAGTCTAGTAGGGAGTGTGTACAAAATCCTGGCAAAGGTCCTAGCAAAAAGATTTAGAGAGGTCCTAAAAGAGCTGGTCTCTCCAAATCAGTTTGCATTCGTGAAAGGAAGACAAATTGTAGACAGCATCCTAATTGCAAATGAAGTTGTTGAAGATAGAAGAAGGAGTGGAAGGAAGGGCCTTCTTGTGAAGCTAGATTTGGAAAAAGCTTACGAAAAAGTAGATTGGGACTGCCTCCTCCAAATTCTGAAACTGAGGGATTTTGGAACAAAGTGGCTGCAGTGGATGAAAGGCTGTATAAGTTCAACCTGATTCTTGATCTTGATCAATGGAGAGCGCAAAGGTTACTTTAAAGCAAGTAGGGGTCGAGATGCCACAAATATCTCCCACCTCCTATTTGCAGATGATGTCATTCTGTTCCTAGAAGCAGATTTGAAGAACATCAGAAGTATGAAAAGAGTGCTTCAATGCTTTGAATTAGTCTCTGGGTTGACGATTAATTACTCAAAGAGCAGCCTAGCAACTATAAACCAAATTGAAGATTCTCTTCTGGGAAGTTTCAAGGAAACACTGAATTGGCGAGTGGAAAACTTTCCCCTTTCTTATTTGGGATTGCCCCTTGGTGGGAATCCAAAAAGTCCAAACTTTTGGGAGCCAGTGGTGGAAAAATGTGAAAAGAAATTAGCTACTTGGAAACGTTGCTATCTCTCAAAAGGAGGCAGACTTACCCTTGTAAAGGCTTCTCTTGCAAACATGCCTGTCTATTTCCTTTCAGTATTTCAGATCCCAACCAAAATCAGATCACACGAGAAGCTCCAAAGAGACTTCCTATGGGAAGATGGAAATGATAAAAAAAGGCATCTAGTAAATTGGAGTCAGGTTTGCAAGCCAAAAGAGGCTGGAGGGTTGGGAATCGGACACCTAAAAGAGAAGAGCAATGCCCTACTCGGAAAATGACTGTGGAGATTCCCCATTGAATCGAACTCCCTATGGGTAGTTATCATCACTAGAAAGTATGGGTTAAATGCCAATGTTTGGGACTGCAATCTCCGCTCAAACCGGTTAATCTCCTCAGCCCCTTGGAAAGGTATCACCTCCATTCATAACCTCTTCTTTTCTTTCACAAGATTTAGGGTGGGTAATGGAAATAGAATAAAATTCTGGACTGATCTGTGGTGGAGTGATTCCACCTTGGCAGATTCCTATCCTAGGATTTATAGTCTTACCCTAAACAAAGATGCAACCATTTCTCAGTGCCTCCCTTATTCCTCCAATGAAAACAACATTAACTTGTGCCTCAGAAGACCTTTAAGGGAACCGGAGATAAGCGAGTTAGCTGACCTTCTCCTCTCCCTCAAAGAAGTTTACATTTCCCCAAACTCCCAAGATTCCCG